TCGTAAAGAACAAATGATTCCTTCACTAAACACTTCAATTCATGGTTAGAAAAAAGTTAGAACCAGAGAACATGTTATTCAAGACATTGAACATCGATTGAACCAGCGACGTGATGAAATCAGATTAATTTAAGTCAATTCTTCAAGACAAAGGAAATCGGATCCAGCATTGCGGAATAAAGTGCGAAAGACGTGGAATGAGAGATCCGAAACGAAAACCTAATGGAAAAGAGAAAGAGGAAATGGTACCTGAGGAAGAAGGAAGGGGATTTTGAGGGCGAGAGAGACGAGAGGGTCGAAGCGCGAAATGGTTGATGGCTGCTAAACTCAGTGAGCGGGAGAGTGGAAGAGTGATTGAAGGAGGGATTGGGTGAAAAAAATTGGGGAAAAGTAAAAGAGGGAAAAGGTTGAAAATTTTTTCGCGAAAAAATGTATATGAATTTAGGAGGGCATAAACCTCCTCAAAAAAATATAGAAACCGCCACTATATTTAGAATTTTAAGCGTTTCTCAAAAACGCTGCAAATCATGTTAATTTGAGGAGGTTTTTAAAACCCCCTTAAAATAACCCCCACTAAATAGCATTTTTTTTGTAGTGTATATAGATGCATTATCCTCGTCATCAAATTTTAATTGTCTAATCTCCAACTTTTGTTAGTCGAATCAATGAGTTCACTCACTTTCAACTCCTAACTCAAGGTTACTGGTGTTTGAATGAAGTAGCTATAATCATTGTGTCTCAACCAAGGCTCACCCCACACCGAAATATATTTACCATTGTCCACTTTACAATAGGGTAATCTTGAAGTCAGCATTAGGGTACTGTCTAACTTTATACAACTTATTGATTAAGGAACCAAGGTTACACTCCAAGTGTCAGGCTTGCTTACTCAACATGGTTAGGTTAAAAACATGGATGTTATTAAGAAAAATGCAAGTTTCGTTTATCCTAAATCATTAAAATGGGTTATCCATCATTTATCCATGTACCAAGTCTAATAGTGTTGGATGTGTGGGAGTATAATAGAAAAAAAATAATCCAAGTTCCACATTTTCTAGAAATAAAGTAATTAAAAAATATATAACTGGAGAGCAATCCCCACCTTAAATGCCAAATTTGTAGGATTGAGTTAGACTCAAACTCATTAGTCTAAGATGGTATGGAAACTATATAGATCCACTCTAAATGGGTCACCCATCATTGATGCACAAATCAACTCCAATAATACTAGGTGTGGGGGGTGTATTGAAAAAAACTCAAGTCCCACCTATCCTAGATCATTAAAAAGGGTCACCCACCATTTATCCATGTACCAAGCCCAATAAGACTAGACATAAGGACATCGACTAAAGATAAAGCAATTAAAGAATATATATATATATAAGTGGAGAACGATCTTCACCTTACAAGTTGGTTTTGTAGGGTTGAGTTAGACTCAAATCCACGTTCTTGAAACCCATGCCCATGAAGTCCTTTTTGATAGCAATTTTCCCCCGCTACAACCAGTTAATCTGCCTTGTAAGGCTTGAGTTGGAACCCCACCAATAGATTTCATTAATCTTTCTAACTCTAAGCAAAGTATTTGGAAAAGTACGTAAATGCTCATGGCGTAGTAAGAAGGAATAACTTGCAATACCCATTTGATCATGACTTCCTTGCTCGCTCTAGATAAAGACCTATTCGCCAAAATATTGGATAGGATCTTATACATCACATTACATAAACCAATAGGTCTAAGCATCTTCATAGTGTCTGAATTATTGCATTTGGTAATTAACACAATGGTTGTTTCTTTCAAAGATTTAGGAAGCATCCCTATATCAATCCACTTCTCACACGCTAAAAAAATATTGTCTCCACATGTATCCTAAAACTGTTTGTAGAAGATACGGTTGAACCTGTCCAGGACTTGCAATTTTTCACTGTGCATTTGGAATAAAGCTTGCCTAGGCTCCTCCTTAACAAGAAGGAATGTAAGGAATACATTTTTTTCCTTGGTGATCATAAGAGGTAACGTATTAAAAACCAAAAAGGTTTCCACAAGCTTCACACTATATAGTTCAGTAAAGTAGTTTTTAAAGACTGTCCCTAACTCATCTTGAGAAGATACTTTGATTACCTTCAAAAGTTGATAAGGGTTTGTATTTTGTCATTCTTATGACGAGACATGGTAGTTGCATGGAAAAAAAATTGTGTTGGCATCCCTATCATGTAACTAGTGTTGTTTAGCTTGTTGTTTCCAGTACATGTCCTCTTGCACCAATATAGCACCCAACTTGCTTTGTAGGATGACATATTGTGTTCTTCTTAGACCACTTGTTTGGCTCCCACAAATTTCCATTTCCTTCTTAATATTTTGCATCTGACTTCTAGTTCATATAGAGTTTTTCCTACTCCACCTCTTAAGGTGAGCACTGCATGTTTCAATCCTATCCTTAACTTCCCGAGAGTCATAAGAGCACCATCCTTCTAACACCATTTTTTTAATATCTAGATCCATTAGCTAAGCATTCTCAAATTTGAATATGAAAGTATGAGCCTTAAAGATACTAGGAGTAAGCTTGAGACATAATGGGTTATGATCTAACATGGCTACAATGCAATTATGAAGTGTTTTCATGAAATAATCCTTTCTAATTCAACATGACCATAACTCTATCAAGGCGCTCTTCAATATAGTTTTTCGTGGAACATCCTCTAGCCCACATGAATTGGTGACCCTCAAGTTGAATATCCTCTAAACCACAATCCATGACAACTTGGCAAAAGCTAGAATAAGCCAATTAGGATGTGGGATTCAACCTCATCTTTCCTCTCTAGCGATAAGATTGTTAAAGTCGCCAATAATGCACCAAGGGAGACTGAAAAAAAAACTAACTAAAAAAGTTGATCTTGGGCTATTTTTCTTCGGTGATGTTCATAGTACTTTGTGATCGTCCATTTAGTTCCTTCGTTTTGCATAATCTAAATGTTAATAACGTTAGTGGAGAGTAATGTAATGGAAACACTAGTTGCACCCAAAGATCTTCAATGTGATTCTTCTTTGCTAAAGTACAAAGGAAAATGATATCAGGTTTGTAGACACATATTAGGTCACGAATGATATGAACCGCCCA